TGGAGGAGCGCGAGACTGACATGGAGACGCGCATGGAGGAGCTACGGGCTAGCATAGGGACACGGGGCAGCAGCGCCGGCCCTGAAGAGCCTGACGTGCCCGGCAGCAGCAGCACAGTTCTGCCAGGCTTGGCGGGCAATGGCGCAGGGGCATGGCATCAGCTACTTGCCGCTGGCGAGGCGGCAATGCTAGAGATTGAGCTAAGCCGCTTACAACAAATTCATATCGATGCTCGCAAGCATCTCAACAAGCACAAACCCAGCTGCTGATCTTTGTTGCAGTAATGTAAAGCAGTGGCTGACTCAGCTGTCACTGGCAGGGAACATCAGCATGTGTGCGAGCCGCCCCACACCACCTGAACTAGATGCCTTGCTGTATCGCAGCTTACACACACATACAATCAGGTTGACAGCTTGACTTTAAACTCAATGCAGAAGTCCCTAATCCTTCTCCTCTGCTCTTTTGTGAAGGCCAGGCTGCTTTCCCAAAGGCGGCACAGGTGTTCCACCGCTTTGGCCCGGCGCATGTTGTCAGCACGCCAGGTGCCAATTCGGTTGGCGTCCATATCCTGCTGCACGAACTCCAGAAACGGCTCCACTTCGTCCCATGTGGCTGTAGCTGCAGGAATGCCGCTGAGGGCCTCTGCTGCTGCTTGTTGTTCTGCTTGCTGTTGCTCAGCCGCTGCTGCTGCTGCCTTGGCAGAGTGCACCTCATGTGGGCACTTGCCGGAAGTGTCTGCTAGAGGGCAGTAGGGCAGTTAGCGCAATGAGGATGTAGCCATGTGCAGTAATCTACTCATCAAGCAACTAAATTTAGTTGAACACACCAGTAAGCTCAAGGATACTCCATTTGTTGTGGTCCCAAGACAGCTCCAGGGGCAGCCTCAGCGGCAGCGCAGCGCACCTCTCCAGAAGCGGGTTTTTGCATTGCCAATGTCAGTCGCTGTCAGCTTGCCGCGCAGGTCAGGGAAGTGCTCGCCCATGGCCTTGCACACCGCATCGGCGTAGCCCACCTCGCCTGCCGACGTCTTTGGGAGCCGCAGCTGCTGCTTCTCCGGGTCCCACCGCTGGCTGTGCTCTGCCTCAATCAAGTCCCTCAGCACACCCTCCTGACAGCAGCAGCCCAACAGGAATCGTCAAAAGCACATGCATGCATTGATGCCAGTTTTTGCATATTGCATTGGACAAAGCACGACAGCAGCCCACGGCTTACATGGCATTCCTTGATAAGCCCGCCTGTCCCAAAAACACGCCGCTGCACAGCGTTCTTCGTCTGCTCAGGGCTGCATGGAGTGCACAGCGGGAAGAATGGGGGCAGAAGAGCAGCAGA